CCTACCATGTCTGAATTACCAGAAGCTATTGAGGATTTGTCAATTCCCAGCACTCCTGCAAGGTCCATATCTCCATATCATGGAGGGTGACAATGCCAGCCTGTCTTCCCTCAGGTCTTGGACCATACCTAAGATCACGGCCGAATGAAGGCGAGTTAAGTTCAGCAGTCTGAACTTTATAGACTGCTCAACACCAACGTGGATAACACCGGGGCTGGTGAGGGCCCCAGTGGTGCCCAGTCATCCGACCACCAGGCCGTCCTGTCATCGGTCCTGTCCCCGTTGGGACGGATTACTGATAGGTTGGACCGGTTGGATGCTAGTGATGGGCCAGTGGCACCTTCTGGATTGGTTACTCCAGCATCTACTGGTCTCTCAGGCACCCTGACTTGTAAATTCATTGCTCCACTACAGAACCCTAATATTCTCAACCCACCTCACATTGTGCCAGCTAATATTAAGAAGGATATCTTGGAAGGCAAGGATGTCCATCTAGTTTCGCTGCCGATTGCCTCCCAAGATATTATGGAGAACAAGATGTATTTCTATGGTGAGGTCTCTGTTGTACTGAAGGCTAGGGACCCCAAGTTGAATAGGAAGTTGTCAATTCCTGAGTATATCCTGGCCTTTGATATTTATAGGAACATGGTGTGCTCGGTTTCACTGAGCACAGAGAGGAATTTGATCTGTGTTTACACTAGCTGGTGGACCTAGGGCATAAGTATGGAGGTACATCATTTTATGATTACCATAGCTCATTCTCCGCGAAGGCATCTGCAGCTCTAGCTCAGTTCAATTTTAGACGGACTGGAGCCAGTTGGACACTATGCCCTGAACACAAATGGAAGGCTGTGCCTGTAATATACACACACATCCACTGTAGTTTTAGCAACTGTTTTAAATGATCACTATAGGGTTAAAACCACCATTAAGCCCCCATGGGCACCTCATGTCTCCATATATATAGCAAAATCTTACTGTATTCAAGCCTGAAGCTGTAGATCTGCATGCTATTTGCCTCAGATAAACAAGGAGTCTGCTGACCTCATCAGAAGTGGTAGCCTGATCCATTCACAATGCTTCTACATAGGATTGGCTGAGACTAACAAGGAGGCAGATCAGGGGCAGAGCCAGCACGATTCAAACACAGCCCTGGTCAATCAGCATCTCCTCATAGAGATGAACTGAATCAATGAATCTCTATGAGGAAAGTTCAGTGTCTGCATGCAGAGGGAGGAGACACTGAATATTTGGATGCATTTTAGGCAGCCATGACCGAGGAAGGCTCTCTAACAGCTATCTGAGTAGTGGCCAGTGAAGTTATCACTAGGCTGTAATGTAAACACTGCTTTTTCTCTGAAAAGACAGTGTTTACAGGAAAAAGACAGAAGTTAATGGTTCTACTCTTCAGAACAAATTCAATAAGCTGTAGTAGTTCTGGTGACTATAGTGTCCCTTTAATATAAAAGCCATTACGTTTATAGCATTGCAATATTCACTTGTGGATCGATTTTACAATGCGTTGTAGTGGTTATGGTACTTTGATTGCCCGAAGGTGGATTAATGAAAGTAAAATGTCTAAGTGAAGGGAAAGTATTCTGACAAACAATTTGCATCATCATTGGCAATGTGAGTTGGTAGCTAACAGTTGTATTTTAACTTTACATTGGTAGCACAACTATTCAATATTGGAGATTTATACATGAGAGAAAATATTTTAGCAGCCAGTCGAGTTAGGGGGTTAAATGGTCCTTGCATTTCTTGTATGTGCTTGTTTTAGGACATTTAATACATCAGTGTGATCTAAAAGAGCAAGAAAAATATATTGATCCAAAAATACATTTAGCAATCTACTTTATGTAGGCCAAATTTTTCTTCATTTTTTTTTTTTTGCCCTCGTACAACAATTTGCGAAAAAAGTACTAATTTTACGTTCTAATATATAGGCTTCTTTAAGGGGTTGCTCCAAGTACCAGGA